ATTATATATTCTATAATTAATTAGGCGTATAGTAGGTTCGGTATTTAGGTTCTGTTGGCAATTATTTTCACTTGAAGTATGTGGAGGGTGAAGCATTTACAGTTGCCTGTCCTCAGGCCAGGCTCGCCTACGCCGCCGCCCGACCCAAAGCCTCATTCATCAATTTTCTCGCTGTGTATTCAGAATTATTCTCGCGTATAAGGTAATATTATTTCATGAAGTTAATAGTTAACAACTAAGTTTACTGACAAGCTTGAGTTTAAGTTTGAGTTGTGCATGGTTGTGCTCCGGTTCGTACATGGTTGTGCTCCTGTTCGTACATGGTTGTGCTCCAGTGGTTGTTTGTGTACTAGTGCTCCAGGTTTGTTTGCTAGGGCTTTGTTTCTTTGCAAGGGCTTTATGTTTGTTTGCTAGAAATTTGGGTTTCTTTTTTTGTGTATAGTTCAATTGTTTGATATGGCTCCATAGTTGGTTTCTAGGACAAGTGGAGGGTTTTAGGTAGCTCTAAGCAGATTTTTGTTTAGTCGAGCTAGGAATGGAGTTTGGTTGTGCTCTGGGACTGTTTAGCTTTATGGGGGTTGGATGAGATGTATACGTGCTAGGCTTATGGTTACACAACTGGTCGGGGTCCGGTTACACAACTGGTGGGGCTCAGGTTACACAACTGGTCGGGCTCCGGTTAATAACTGGTCGGGCTCCGGTTAAATAACTGGTCGGGCTCCGGTTAAGTAACTGGTCGGGCTCCGGGGGTGTCACCTGAGTTTTGGGTTGTGCATGGTCGGGCTTCCGTTCGTGTATGGTTGTGATCCAGAGGCTGTATGTTTGGTTCGTTCATGTTAGGCTTGCAGTTACACAACTGGTCAGGGTCTGGTTACACAACTGGTCAAGCTTCGGTTACACAACTGGTCGGGCTCCGGTTAAATAACTGGTCGGGCTCCGGTTAAATAACTGGTCGGGCTCCGGTTAAATAACTGGTCGGGCTCCGGGAGTGTCACTTGGGCTATGGGTTGTGCATGGTCGGGCTTCCGTTCGCGCATGGTTGTGCTTCAGAGGTTGTTTGTTTGGTTCGTTCATGCTAGGCTTGCGGTTAGACAACTGGTCGGGCTCCGGTTTCATAACTTGTCGGGTTCCGATTACATAACACCAGTGGTGTGACTTGTTGGGCTTTGGGTTGCACATGGTTGTGCTCCGGTTCGTATATGGTTGTGCACCAGTGGTTGTTTGTGTATTAGTGCTCCAGGTTTGTTTGCAAGGGCTCTGTTTATATGTTTCCTAGAAATTTGAGTTTCTTTTTTTGTATATAGTTCAATTGTTTGATATGGCTCCATAGTTGGTTTCTAGGGCAAGTGGAGGGTTTTAGGTAGCTCTAAGCAGGTTTTTGTTTGGTCGAGCTAGGAATGGAGTTTGATTGTGCTCTGGGATTGTTTAGCTTAATGGTGGGGGTTGGATGAGATGTATACGTGCTAGGCTTAAGGTTACACAAGTGGTCGGGGTCCGGTTACACAACTGGTGGGGCTCAGGTTACACAACTGGTCGGGCTCCGGTTAATAACTGGTCGGGCTCCGGTTAAATAACTGGTCGGGCTCCGGTTAAGTAACTGGTCGGGCTCCGGGGGTGTCACCTGAGTTTTGGGTTGTGCATGGTCGGGCTTCCGTTCGTGCATGGTTGTGATCCAGAGGCTGTATGTTTGGTTCGTTCATGTTAGGCTTGCAGTTACACAACTTGTCGGGTTCCGACTGCATTACTCCGGGGGTGTGACTTGTTGGGCTTTCAGTTGTGCATGGTTGTGCTCCGGTTCGTACATGGTTGTGCTCCTGTTCGTACATGGTTGTGCTCCAGTGGTTGGTTGTGTACTAGTGCTCCAGGTTTGTTTGCTAGGGCTTTGTTTCTTTGCAAGGGCTTTATGTTTGTTTGCTAGAAATTTGGGTTTCTTTTTTTGTGTATAGTTCAATTGTTTGATATGGTTCCATAGTGTGTTTCTAGGACAAGTGGAGGGTTTTAGGTAGCTCTAAGCAGATTTTTGTTTGGTCGAGCTAGGAATGGAGTTTGGTTGTGCTCTGGGACTGTTTAGCTTTATGGGGGTTGGATGAGATGTATACTTGCTAGGCTTACGGTTACACAACTGGTCGGGGTCTGGTTACACAACTGGTCAAGCTTCGGTTACACAACTGGTCGGGCTCCGGTTAAATAACTGGTCGGGCTCCGGTTAAATAACTGGTCGGGCTCCGGTTAAATAACTGGTCGGGCTCCGGTTAAATAACTGGTCGGGCTCCGGTTAAATAACTGGTCGGGCTCCGGTTAAATAACTGGTCGGGCTCCGGGGGTGTCACTTGGGCTATGGGTTGTGCATGGTCGGGCTTCCGTTCGTGCATGGTTGTGCTTCAGAGGTTGTTTGTTTGGTTCGTTCATGCTAGGCTTGCGGTTAGACAACTGGTCGGGCTCCGGTTTCATAACTTGTCGGGTTCCGATTACATAACACCAGTGGTGTGACTTGTTGGGCTTTGGGTTGCACATGGTTGTGCTCCGGTTCGTACTTGGTTGTGCTCCGGTTCGTATATGGTTGTGCACCAGTGGTTGTTTGTGTATTAGTGCTCCAGGTTTGTTTGCAAGGGCTCTGTTTATATGTTTCCTAGAAATTTGAGTTTCTTTTTTTGTATATAGTTCAATTGTTTGATATGGCTCCATAGTTGGTTTCTAGGGCAAGTGGAGGGTTTTAGGTAGCTCTAAGCAGATTTTTGTTTGGTCGAGCTAGGAATGGAGTTTGGTTGTGCTCTGGGACTGTTTAGCTTAATGGTGGGGGTTGGATGAGATGTATACGTGCTAGGCTTATGGTTACACAACTGGTCGGGGTCCGGTTACACAACTGGTGGGGCTCAGGTTACACAACTGGTCGGGCTCCGGTTAATAACTGGTCGGGCTCCGGTTAAATAACTGGTCGGGCTCCGGTTAAGTAACTGGTCGGGCTCCGGGGGTGTCACCTGAGTTTTGGGTTGTGCATGGTCGGGCTTCCGTTCGTGCATGGTTGTGATCCAGAGGCTGTATGTTTGGTTCGTTCATGTTAGGCTTGCAGTTACACAACTGGTTGGGCTCCGGTTACACAACTTGTCGGGTTCCGATTGCATTACTCCGGGGGTGTGACTTGTTGGGCTTTGAGTTGTGCATGGTTGTGCTCCGGTTCGTACATGGTTGTGCTCTTGTTCGTACATGGTTGTGCTCCAGTGGTTGTTTGTGTACTAGTGCTCCAGGTTTGTTTGCTAGGGCTTTGTTTCTTTGCAAGGGCTTTATGTTTGTTTGCTAGAAATTTGGGTTTCTTTTTTTGTGTATAGTTCAATTGTTTGATATGGCTCCATAGTGTGTTTCTAGGACAAGTGGAGGGTTTTAGGTAGCTCTAAGCAGATTTTTGTTTGGTCGAGCTAGGAATGGAGTTTGGTTGTGCTCTGGGACTGTTTAGCTTTATGGGGGTTGGATGAGATGTATACTTGCTAGGCTTACGGTTACACAACTGGTCGGGGTCTGGTTACACAACTGGTCAAGCTTCGGTTACACAACTGGTCGGGCTCCGGTTAAATAACTGGTCGGGCTCCGGTTAAATAACTGGTCGGGCTCCGGTTAAATAACTGGTCGGGCTCCGGGGGTGTCACTTGGGCTATGGGTTGTGCATGGTCGGGCTTCCGTTCGTGCATGGTTGTGCTTCAGAGGTTGTTTGTTTGGTTCGTTCATGCTAGGCTTGCGGTTAGACAACTGGTCGGGCTCCGGTTAAATAACTGGTCGGGCTCTGGTTTCATAACTTGTCGGGTTCCGATTACATAACACCAGTGGTGTGACTTGTTGGGCTTTGGGTTGCACATGGTTGTGCTCCGGTTCGTACATGGTTGTGCTCCGGTTCGTATATGGTTGTGCACCAGTGGTTGTTTGTGTATTAGTGCTCCAGGTTTGTTTGCAAGGGCTCTGTTTATATGTTTCCTAGAAATTTGAGTTTCTTTTTTTGTATATAGTTCAATTGTTTGATATGGCTCCATAGTTGGTTTCTAGGGCAAGTGGAGGGTTTTAGGTAGCTCTAAGCAGATTTTTGTTTGGTCGAGCTAGGAATGGAGTTTGGTTGTGCTCTGGGACTGTTTAGCTTAATGGTGGGGGTTGGATGAGATGTATACTTGCTAGGCTTAAGGTTACACAACTGGTCGGGGTCCGGTTACACAACTAGTGGGGCTCAGGTTACACAACTGGTCGGGCTCCGGTTAATAACTGGTCGGGCTCCGGTTAAATAACTGGTCGGGCTCCGGTTAAGTAACTGGTCGGGCTCCGGGGGTGTCACCTGAGTTTTGGGTTGTGCATGGTCGGGCTTCCGTTCGTGCATGGTTGTGATCCAGAGGTTGTTTGTTTGGTTCGTTCATGTTAGGCTTACAGTTACACAACTGGTCGGGCTCCGGTTACACAACTGGTCAAGCTTCGGTTACACAACTGGTCGGGCTCCGGTTACACAACTTGTCAGCTTCCGATTGCATTACTCCGGGGGTGTGACTTGTTGGACTTTGAGTTGTGCATGGTTGTGTAGGGTTCGGTGTTCATTGAACGAAAAGGACATGAGCAGTTTAAATTGCGAACGCATACCAACGAATAACGCTAGTATCTATATAACAAATTTATTGTCCTGTGGAGTTGATTTAACTTCCAGACACGTTTTGTTTAATAAATATTAAAGATTTAGTGGCTGTTTATGAAAGATATTATATAAATACACATTCTACTTCTTAATATCACCAATTAAATTTGCGACAATTTGAGCCATGAAATGCGACGACTGGATCACTGTGTACAGGAGGCTGATATGGCAGCAAACACTCTCCAGGCGACCATATATCTTGGATAAGTCGCTCCACACAATTGTCGCTTGGACCGTCGACTTCCTATGGCGTCATCTCTCACATATTTTCGTCTCATTTCGTTATGAAATTAGATTATTTCAGAGTAAAAATAGGTTTGATCATGTTCTACGTGTAGCACCAACATTATAGTAAGTAAATATACCATATTTCTTCATTACTTACGTAATGCTAGGACGATTTGTGTAGTTTTGGGCCGATTTGGGTAATTCTGTGGACCGGTGTGGGGTATGTTGAGTAAACAAGTGTTGTTGGCGGGCATCTTGAGTAAAACATCCGCTGTATTCGCTAAGGACATCAGCTGTAGGCGCCTTTGGACAGGTGTTGGAAGGAATATGGCTTCCCAGAAAACAATTAAAAGCTTCTTTCAACCTATCTTGAAGCGGAAAAGTAAAGATGTTGAGGTAAGAGCATGTCCCTGCTATGTAACTAGCTTAGCTAAACGAATTTTGGGGTTCAGCTCCTGAGCACATTATGTGCTTGAGTAGCCTTTCTTTCACTATAGATCACAGGATGGTTATATGAGGGTACATAATAAATTGACATTTTTTTGTCTTATGTTTTGCCTGAAACGCTTTGCATAATAGCGGCTTCTTAGATTGTGTACTCGTCCCTACAATTGTACATTACTCTAATGTTCTTTGTATTCACGTTATTTTGAATAATCGTTAAATTGAATTGAATTGAAATAAATCTACCAAACTAAACTTAAGTCCTACTAGTGCCTCTTGCCTAACTTGCTTATGGTTCTGGATTCTTATTTTAAGTTTATGGTTGCAAGACTTGTGTGATTGCGTATCCCAAATATGAGCTAAGAGTTTTCTTTTGAGGATTGTTTTATCAGTGTTAGAATCAAAGAGAAATTTTACTTAATACTCAAAGTTGGTTGAGAAAAGTCAGCATTCAGGATGTCTGACCAAAGCTGACCATAAGAAATAAATTCAAAGCTATTTGAGATTAATTTAATTGCAATTCATTACACATTGCCTGATCACTGGCATGTTCTCTAACGGAGCCAGTCTATGGCTATAACACTAAGACTGTGCTGCCGTACAATCAAAATTCCTATTAATGATTACTCAAATTTTGATTTGCTCAATTTAGCATTTTATATTTATAAATATTGTAAGCCCAGCATCTTGATTTTGCCAATTCTTCATTTAGTTCCTAATTTGCAAATTATGTACAAATACAGGTACTGTACATAGAGTTAGATATGTTAATATAAATGTAAACATTATTATTCATAAAAGTATAGGCGAGAAATGTGATTATTGCTTCCACCAAGTCAATTATATGTCTTTGGAAGCTGGTTGCTGTGTAAGTATTTATGTTATACGTATATATTTATTAAGTGATAATTTAATTTGCAGGGAAATGAAATCAAGAAGACAAAGAAAAGTGAGGAAATTCATTCATCCAGTGATATTACCAGTAAGTGTTACAATACTGACATTTTTGTTTGGTAAAAATATTAAGTTTACATTAAGTATGCTGTATTAATTTGCTATTCAGCATTTGTTTATTGGAAATGTAGGTTTTGAACGTCAGTCCATTCTCAGGTTAAAATGCCTACATGCAATGTAAGGCATTTCAAGTATGCATTTTAAATGTATTTTATAGAAAATACATTTAACAGTAATTATCTTTGCATTTTTGAATATATATAATGATGACCAAACCACACACACCAGATGATGAAGAAACGATGTTTCAGGCCGTCCTGGACCATTACCAAGTTGATTGTGATAATGGTCCAGGATGGACCGAAATGTCATCGTTTCTTCATCCTCTGGTGTGTGGTTTGGTCATCATTTCTTCATCCAAGTTATTGTGACTCATTATCTTCATATATATAGCTTAGGCATGCAGTATATAAGATAACAAAATTTACATACAAAATTATTTTGAAGTATTAGTTAAATTACATTTACAGACATTATGGCTTCGTGATAATCCCATATTAATTTAGAAGTACAAAATATATCCTAATCTTTCATGAGGGTATATTTAGTTAACTTTACCTTTTTCTTAAACTGTAGCATACTGTATCTATATACAGTATTGCGAATATTCATTAGGTGCTGAGAATGATAAGTCATAAGTCTAGTAAGTCATGTTTAGTAGGTTACTATTTCTGCTTCTATGCTCAGTGATCAGAATATTAAATGATTTTTTTAGGAACTCCACCAAAAAATCCCGATAACAAGCCACAGCTCAACATGACTCCAGAGCAGAAAGAACGAATGATGCATAATAAATTGAAGGTATGATATAACTATGAATACTGGTGGATGAATACTGGCATTCATCAGCAAACAACTCTTTAATTGAAACTTTAAACTTTGCTTATACAAAATTATAAAACTGCTATAATGCAAATTTTAATGCAAGCAGTATAATGCAAAACTGCTATTTTGCTAATGCAAAACATACAAAACACACATACAGTACATATTATGTGCGATTGCAAAATTATAAAACACACAATGTGTGTGTATGTTTTGTATGTTTTCTTATGTGTATGAACATACTCATTATGTATAATATACATTGGCTATATTCATACTTTTATCATACATAATTATCCTGTGTATATTTGTATTATGTTCTCTGATATGCCCATTATTTTCATTCTTAGCTGTTTGGCTATAGTTGAAAATTACACATTTGTTCATATAATTACCATGTAAAGCAGATGTCTTCTAAATGATTAAACTGAAACTTTTTAAAGTTTGTATTGCATGTGATTTTCCTTTTACATATTTATGCTATAATATTTTTTCTTTTTAATTTGGAAAGGCCTAAGCAAGAAAATTCCAATAAGTTAGGTTTACCTCTATGATTACATACAGCATGTGATGCTAAGCTAGTCGAGTTATCTTGTAGTTTTCTCACATATGTTTCAAGAATGTTTCTGTAAAGCTGTGTAGTCTGTAAGATAATATTTTAATTTCCTGTTGTTGAGGTCATCAAGCCTAAACTCAGGCTTATTAAGATTTTTGAGGCCAGCTACTGACCTTTCCCAGGATGCAACCCACACGAATTGCCTAACTCCCAGGTATCTATTTTAGGTCTAGATGAATAGAGGCATCAGGTGAAAGGAAGGGTGCCCATTTATTTCTGTCCTGCTTGGGGGCTGAACCTGGGTCCCTCCATTGTGAGCCAGAGATGTAGACCACTGTACTACAAGACCCATTTTTGGTGAATGGAAGTGTCATCATTTTGTAATTTCTGTACCATTCTTTTTTTTATACTGTACTCTTCTATTTTGCAGGCAGAGATAAAAAAACAATGTAATCAAACTCCAGCTTTGCATGACAATATCGGCCATAGTTGGTACGTTGCCCTGAAACCCCAGTTCGTTCAGCCATACTTTACAAAGGTTAGTGAATGTTTTTCTGTTTTGCTTTAATATTATGGATTTAAAAGAAAATTATTATCCAATACTGGTTTTTCATTCTTCCATTCAAACAGTTTTGCCATACTTGTACAAACTTTTTCATGTAATTAAAAAATTGTTAGTATCGTTGTAGACTCCAATTGTGCTGATGGATTCACTAGAGAAATATTAAATGTTGCCTGGAAATGACTGTCGGATGTCATTCTGTTAAATTCAAAACTCTTCTGAGCCCTCATTTGTGAACACAGTTGTCATCTAAATGTTGGCTCTCATTGACCACTGACTGGGTTAGCTTGATCAATCCCACTTACTATTCAGCCCTTTCTCCTGAAGAGCACATCACCTTTTGATGGCTCACAAAATTAACTCGAAGTTCTGTTTTTTATTCGTGGGTCCTCGAGTAGGTTAGGTTTGGCTAATTTATTACAACTGTTTAGTGACATTGGGAATGTTTGGGGAAACGTCCAAATGGAACTTTACACACATGCTCAAAGCTTTATTTATAGCAATAGCACAAGTTATTATACAGTTAATTTTTTCACCATGTGATAGAGCAATCATATATGAACATTTACAGGTGAAATAATAAGGAATAATAGACAGCTGAAGAAATGTAAAATAATTCTAAAATTTCATATTAAACACTCCAACATTCACCTCCAGACTGCTGAGAAATGTGCACATGAACATTAAGGTGTTAATACAGTGCTCCTCGACCAGTAACTAATGTTTTATTTCCTAATTACATTATTTTTCTCGTTACTACAAGACCCACCACAGTGGTTGATAATGTTCAACTCTGTGGACTCTTTGAAAGTCATCTTAGAGACAACCCTAGTGGTTCTGCTATGCGACAGAGTGCTTTTCCTTCATGTTTGGTCTCTCCTGTTATGGTGCCAAGGCTGTAGTGTGCATTGTATTTTTTTTTTTTCAGTGTGTGTTTGTCCATTGTATTTATACATTGCTTATGGCCTTTTATATTACTGCCTATGAATTTTGGTATGTTGCTTAAATATGGTTGTGTATGTTTTGCAAATATTGGCTGATTAATTGATTATCAAAAGTGAGAAAGTACATAATGAGAAAATATTGATGTCGTACAATAGATCAATCTCACATCCCGGGACTTGCAGGCACACGAACGTCTGATCGAACCATGATGAGCTCTGTCTCATCGACAGTCTTAATATTTTCTGATAGTATTGTATATCATATTCTTGTAATTTCATTATGTAAGGTACAGTTTATGGAAGACAGTGATGCTGAATATTGTATATATTTAATTTTTTTCATCAGCATTGCGTATAATTGTAGAGGTGATGAATACTGTGCTCACTTATATATGCTTATAGGGTCGAATGTCAACTCCTAAGCACCAGGTTTCTGAATATTTTGTGGTTTAATATAATGAATTGTTTTCTCTTATTTTCCACTTAGCTTAGAATGACTTTGTTTTCAAATATTTTTCTCTAAAATGCAAAATTCAATTAACTAATTTGTCTTTCTTGTTTCTTTTCACTACTGAGTAGCTGAGCACATTTTTGGTCCAAGAGCGCAACAAAGCAACTATTTACCCACCAGAAAATGAGGTTTTTTCGTGGACTCATCATTGCAAATTGGAGGATATCAAAGTGGTTATTCTAGGACAGGATCCATATCATGGTCCACGACAAGCACATGGGCTCTGTTTCAGTGTTCAGCTTGGTGTTCAACCACCACCAAGGTATATAAAGCACTTCCTTTTGCACACCTTCTTTGAATCATTTCTATTTCTTAATCTATAATCTTGAAAATGAAAGATAATTTTTCTGTTGTGTCGATTGTCTTGTTTAATAAAACTGAAATATCTCTGACCATGCCTTCTGTTTATCAAGAATTTTTTTTTTACAGTTTGATTAACATGTATAAGGAACTGGAGTCGGACATTCCGGGATTTGAGCGCCCATCACACGGGTATTTGCTGGGGTGGGCAAAGCAAGGTAAAATTTCCTGTTTTAAAGTAAATTAGAACCTGTTAAACACTCAATCGAGATCTGGCTGGGATTTTTAATTGTGTAAATTTTGTTCTTTTAGGTGTTGTTCTCCCATTTTATTGCTACAGGTTGAATTTTGACATGTTTCTTTCTATATAGCTGAGGCTCTTCCTATATAGCTGAGGCCTCAATTCTATGCCACACCTTCGAGTTGAGATGCCATTTTAAAACCCACCATGAAAAATTCATTCACAATCAAAGTTGTTCCTAATACAAGAAATATGTGCCTGGTATTAAAGATACCTTTCATAATTCAATAAATTCCCCTTAAAAGTTGCCATCTGTAGCTTTTCCACTACTGAACTGGCGACATGCATCCATAGTAAGAGAAGATGTTTTTGTGAAAATATCTAGGACTAGCATGGAAAAGTTGAAGTGCTCGTAATAAGGTCCACACAGTTTTCCTGCAATCTAAAACTGTTGTTGGGTGTCCATGACTGGCAATGGCGCTGTTGTTTGCAATAAATCTATGTTGAACATTTGTATATGTGTATTTAAATGTAAATAAAGAGTTAACAAGCCTAGCAGTGAGTGTATAGACCATAATGTATTTAACACTTTTTATTTTAGTTGTTTCTATTTCAAGGCTTATGTACAATGTATTAATGAAAATCATAATATACAGTACAGGCATACCTCAGAATGCGAGTTTAATCCGTTCCTGGAGACGCCTCGCCTTCCGAAAACTCGCATTCCGAAGTTAATTTCCCCATAAGAAATAAAGGGAAATGAATTAATCCGTTCCTGACTACCCCAAAAACCCCACATCAAACTAAATTTTTATACCTAATTTACCTAATTCATCTAAATAAACCTACAAAAGTATGTTCCAGTTATTACTTACCTTACTGTCGAGTGCTGTAGGCGTATGGAAGATGGTGAGGAGGGGGGAGGAGGAGAGGAGTTAGTGTTTGGAAGGGGAGTCCCCTTCCATAATCACATCAGGCAGTGAGGACCTTTCTGGTGTGCTCTCCCTGGGACGTTTAACCTGAGTGCCACTAGGTCCTGGTTGAGGTTCACTGCTCGATTTCTTCACCAAATATTTGTCCATGAAAGCTTGCTTTTCCCTTCTTCGCAAGCTCTCTCTGTAGTAAGGCATCACATTGTCATTGAAAAGATTAAGACAACGGCCTACTACAGTTTTGTCTGGGTGAGTGTGTTCAATAGTTGTTTGAATCTCTTCCCACATCTGACACACCTTCTTAATTACTGCAGAAGGGACATTCGCTGGTGCTGTTGCCACCACCTCCTCCTCCACTGCAGAATCATTCGCTGCTGTGTTGGCTTGCTGTTCCTGTTGAAGGGCTAGGAGTTCTTCGGTGGTCAGTTCTTCGTTGTGTTCTTCCACCAACTCCTCCACATCATCACCATCCAATTCCAAGCCCATTTTCTGGCCTAGACTAACAATTTCCTCAACAATAGGCGCATCATTTATAGGCTCAAACCCCTCAAAGTCTAGTTCTCTCACACCTTCAGGCCACAATTTTCTCCAGCCAGAGATCAGGGTTCTTTGAGTCACTTCTTGCCAGGCTTTGTCAACGAGTTTTAAAGCACTAAAAATGTTAAAATGCTCTCTCCAGAACTCTTTGAGGGTGAGGTTTGTGGCTTCAGTCACTTCAAAACATTTCCGGAAAAGTGCCCTTTCATACAGTTTCTTAAAATTCGCTATGATTTTCTGGTCCATAGGCTGAATTAGAGGAGTGGTGTTAGGAGGAAGGAATTTAACTGTGAGGAATTTATTGTATTGAGGCATCAAATCATCTTCCAAGCCTGGAGGATGAGCAGGAGCATTGTCAAGGAGAAGCACGGCTCTGAGTGGCAATTGTTTCTCCTGCAGATATTTTTCTATGGCAGGGCACAGCACTTCATTCACCCACTCCGAAAAAATAAGCCTAGTCACCCATGCTTTTTTATTAGACTTCCACATCACAGACAAATGGGTTTTCTGCACATTATACTGTTTGAAAATCCTTGGATTTTCAGAATGATATACTAGCAAGGGTTTAATTTTTAAATCGCCACTCGCATTTGAACACAGCACAAGCGTAAACCTATCTTTCATAGGCTTGTGTCCAGGCAAGGATTTTTCCTCCTTGGTAATGTATGTCCTCTTAGGCATTCTTTTCCAAAACAGTCCTGTTTCGTCACAATTAAACACTTGTTGCGGTAGGTATCCCTCAGCCTCTGCAAACTCTTTAAATTCGTCAATAAATCGTCCAGCGGCTGGTTTGTCTGAGCTGGCTGCCTCCCCATGCCTTGTAACACTATGGATACCACTTCTCTTTCTAAATTTTTCAAACCAGCCCCTGCTTGCCTTAAACTCTTTCTTATCTGCATCACTCGTTGCAGGGGTCTTCTTTAGAAGGTCTTCGTGCAACACCCTGGCTTTCTCAGAAATAATGGCCTCCGAAACACTATCACCCCTCAACTCCTTGTCGTGTATCCAAATTAATAACAACTTTTCCACTTCTTCAAGTATTTGTGGTCTTTGTGTCGTTAATGTTCTTACTCCTTTTGCCACATTAGCACTCATAATCTTATTTTTCTTCTTAAGTATAGTGCATATTGTTGATGTCGCTTTGTTGTACTGCCTACAAAGATCAACAACACGTGTACCGTTCTCATGCTTTCGAATGATCTCTTGTTTCTCCTCTATTGTCATCCTCACATGAGCTTTCTGGCCTTTATCCTTACCACTGGCTTTCTTGGGACTCATGGTGAGATATATAATAACAAATTGTATAGACAAATCACCAAAAATCCAACAAAACACTGAAAATTCACGACAAGAATTGATGTGGGGGTAGTCACTGCGCGCGAGACAATGGTGAACTGAGGGGCAGCGGGGCAGAGGGGCGACGATCGCCGAACGACCACGCGCTAGGTCGGCTGTACGCGTATCAACAAACTCGCGTTCAAACTCGACTCCCGAAGTAACCATCGCCTTCCGAGACAAATTTTTGGAGTAAATACACCTCGCCTTCCGAAAATCTCGCATACAGGGACAATCGCATTCCGAGGTACCACTGTACAGTGATACTAAAAATTATTATGCCTCTGTAATAACTTTATTTTCCTTTCAGTAACTTATAAAAATTAGATTTTTTATCCATCACCATTGAACTGATGAATATAAAGGCTGATACTTTTGATAATTTGTTAGCAGCAAATGCTTGGTTAAATTAATATTAAGTCTTGAATTTCAATTGATTCTTTTCTGACACATAATTAATTGCATTGGTAATGCTTTCCTTTCAGTTTCTGGGTTGTCAGTACAGTACTATATTAATTTTTAAACTTATAAATTTATTCCATACTGATGTGGTGACTCGACCTCTTAACACTATGGTGTAAAATTAGTCTACCATTCCTCGAGTTATAATGGTAGGATGATTATATAGTGGTAGGACTGGGGAAGCCATTTTCTGCACATTTCTTTCCACCAAAGGTCAAAATAGCCTTGGATTTTAGGGCCAGTACTTGCTTAAACCCCCAGGAAGCAAAAGCAAGTTTGTATCTGTGTGAAATTTAAGAGGAATAAATCTGGAATGATACTGGAAGTGGCAAAAGCTTTTAAGGCCAAATTTTGGCCTTTGTTGCCCTGTAGGCTTACAATGACTCGCAAGGGCCTAGTGTGGATTAATTGGGTGGAGCTTGCCAGGTAGCAAGCTCAAATGAGCCACCAAGAACCCACCAGAAAGTGACATTTCATTACATGCAGCACTTTTTTTAATTTATGGTTTTAGCTGTGTTAACAAATATGTATATATTTATAAAAAAAATATGCTTCATTGTGTTTTAGGGTATAAAATTGTATCATTAGCTTTTGCCATTAGTAATTATGTTGTATTTTTGCAATCATTGTATAAAGACAGGAAGACGGCTTGGTTAGTCAGTGCTATCCAAAGACTCCTCGGTTAAATATTTTTGTCTTTCAGGTGTCTTGCTACTCAATGCATGTTTGACCGTACAAGCCCACAAAGCTAATTCGCACAAGGATCATGGCTGGGAAAAGTTTACCGATTGTGTCATTAAAACAATATCAGATAGCAACAAAGGTGTTGTTTTCCTGTTGTGGGGTTCATATGCACAGAAGAAAGCTGTTGTTGTTGATAAAGTAAGTACAATAGTATTTCTCGTAAGTTTGACGTGTGGCTTGTCTTTAATTTATCTTTAGCATTCAATTTGGCAATTATCATAATTACTTTCTTCTCTGGATGGTATTATGTTGCTACAAATGTCATTTTTCATATTAAGTTTATTCATATAGTTTTCATTTCACTGGAATGTTACCTAATAATATGAGAAGGAAGATGAATATAATACACACACATATATATGTACTATTAAAATTCCTAATATAAGTGGATGATACACTGGTACAGGAACTACTTAGCTGAATACCAGTACATAATGGCATTCAAGTGGCTGAATGCTTAGCAAGGATTTTAAACTCGGTCATCAATGTATTTTGTTTATCATCCTCGTAAGCATTTCATTTGCAGACTACATTATGGTGTCTTATTTTTATTAATGTGTCTTTCCATGTATACCATTGGAAATATTTTGTTAAATTTAATTCACTTTTATTTTTCAGTTTAAACCCACAACTTTTTACCCCCTTATCTGATTTATATAACTGATTTTATCCTATGTGGTTTTCTATTGTTGGTACAGTAATGACAAATCAGTACTTAGGTTTACTAGGTTCCCATAGGCCAACTAGTGATATTTCTGATGATATAACCAACAACTGATGCCTGCCTCCCTATTTACTGCTAGGTGAACAAAGGCATCAAATGACATGAAACATGCCCAACCATCTTTGTCCTACTGTGGGAATCGAACTTGGGACTCTAGGTTCCGAGCCATTGGTTGTGCACCCTTTCAACACAGCCTTTATTGCAATGATTTATAGTCATTTAAGTTTTTAAATCTAAGTAGCAGTCATTAGCTTTGGGGCTGGACACTGAAGATGTTTAACTCAAGTCTGTGCTGCAGGTAGTGGTAGGAAGGCCTTGCTATTTTCAATGTTTCATTTACCTAGTAACTTGAGCAATTTATTTTGATATTGCTGCATTTTCCTCACCTTTCCTAAAGGAATGTCACCAGAATAAATTTTGCTTATTCACAACTCTTGCTCTTGCTGGTGTTAATTACTGCTTAAGAGTGGCTTTGTATTGCTAATTCTTCAGTTTATTTCAGTTTTGTTTAATTGCCTAAATGTTTTTCATTGCCACAGAAGAAGCATCATCTACTAAATGCTCCACATCCTTCACCACTGTCTGCACATCGGGGATTCCTGGGCTGCAAGCACTTCTCTAAATGTAATGAACTTCTTAAAAAGGGTGGGAAGAAGCCAGTTGATTGGTCATATTTACCAGAAAAACTTTAACCCCTGGGTTAATGTGATTGGGTATAAATAGCACTAACTGATACTTGTACTGTACTTGCCATCTGTACTTCCTTTAACCTTCTTACAAGATTTACAGAAATTATCATGCATGTAAAATGTATAGATTTAATAAAGGACGCTGCTGCTATTGCATTATTCACTTTTATTAAAAAAAAATTTAAATAAGAAATCATATTTGGTCTTTTACACCCACTCGTATGGTCCTGAAGATACATCAACAAGAGTGCAGAATTTATATTATTTGTAAGATTTATAAATGGACTGCATTAAATTCTGTTTTTGTGAAATGGGGAATGAAGAATAAAACAATTTCTGAAGGCTGATATTTGCCTTTAAAACACAATGATTATTAAAAATTTTGTGTTATAGTCCATTATAACAAAAGTTAACACATTTAAGCTTTTAAGTTATGTAAGTTACTTTGACGTGTGTGTTTGAATATATCTTTACAGTGAACACAAACAAATATTTGAAGTACTTGATTTAGATACAGGTATTAGATTTTAGAAGTGCCTTAAAATATTCTATGGGTGTACAATCAATTCTATTTACAAATCTATTTTTTTTTTCAACAAGGAATATATTTTTTAGCACAATATATCATGTTGCTTCACCCAGCTTAAAATTCTGATTCCTATGAAATGCTGTTTACGAAGCCAAACTGGCTTAGGTTGTCAGTTAAAGGAATATTCCTTGAGTACTGTAATTGTTTCAGGCATCCATCTTGTTCAATTTTAAGATCTGTTGTACAAAATATAATCTTTATTGTCATTTTACCAGAAATCTCAGGAGTAGTTTGATTTAAGTTTCCATAAATGATCTTGAATTCTATATATTTTTGTTTTGTTTTATTCAAAATACAGTATTGTGCTCTGCATTGGATACATTTGATGGATATAGCTGCTTAATGATAATTTGCATTGCAATTCTCATGTCCATGAATGTTCTCTGTGACACAAAATTGAAATTTGTATGTAATTAGACTATCAGCTGTCAGAGAAAAACATCGTTAGCTGATTTTTTATGACAAATGGACAGTTGCAAGTTATTATTAAGAGCAATGCTATAAATTTGCTAAATCAAATCATTAGGTTTTTTCCTGCCAATACGTTTAGCAGAAAATTAAAGTTTAATCTTTTATTAATTGTTTATTTTCCATGTTTGCTGGAATGATAACCATGCTGTTGTCAGACTGCAATAGAGAAAATGCCAGTTGTATTTTTTTATAAATTTGAACATATTAGGAGAATTTATTTGCCAAATATTTTTATTTTTAAATTTAACCATTGGCATATTGATTTTTAAATAATTAATTTTTTTTTGTAACTACTTTAAATTGCAAATCTTTGGGTATAGTTTACTTTATGTAATACAGTATATATATTTTTTTAACTTAAAGGGAGTCATTTATTTTTTGTAATACTACCTCACAAGATTAGTTGCAGTTTTTACAGATAACCTAAAAACACAATTAAAAAGTATGCAACAATAGATGTCATTGGCCATATTATTTAATATGTGAAAATTTTTAATTAACTATGTAGGTAATACAAAAATTAGAATTATTTTATTAGCCTGTGTAAAATGCAATTCTTTATATTAAATGATACAAGTTTTTGATTTGGTATTACAATCCCATCAGCTATTAAACTTGTCTACATTTTATGGTACCCGTTTTTGTCAGTGCTGTGATATGGTAAGGGTGTTTGAATGATTTGATGAGTAGTTGAGTATAACTCAAAAAGTTCCTTTTTTGGGCCCAAGTTGTAAGATGAAACCTTGGCATAGTTTGATGCGCATGGAGACTTTTATGTATGTAACCTTTTTCCCTTTATTTGGCAATTATGTTTGCAACACGATTGGAGGGCCAATATGCCACCTTGCTATGGGATAGCAGTATGGGAGGTTCAGCTTACTGGTAGTCCTGCAGCTGCTGCGACTGTGATCCCTGATCTTTGTTCCGACTTTTAGATTTTAGAGACAGTGTCCTATGGACACTCATGAGTGTCCATAGTACAGTCTCCACACATTGGGACCCTGTGCACCCCTCATCATCCTGTAGAATCTCTCTCTTCCACTACCTCTTCTATGGTAATGTCCCTTGACAAATCACCAAGTGCAAGAGTTAATAGGAGCAAAACCTCTCATACACTATTACATCTAAACCTTACTTTTTACTTATTAAATATGGAAATGACCAGTGTCACCCTTCATTTTAGCCATGTTACATGAATTCAGGCGTACATCGATTCAAATGTAGACATGGAACTTTTTTTTTTCTATCCTGTCAACACAACAAGGAAAGTACACAAATTATACAGTTCCTATACCCACAAAAATAGAAAGAATCATGTTTGGGAATCTGCTCTAAAGGCATAAGTTAATGGAGGTGCCAACCTCACACGTTTATTACAGGTGTTCCATGGCCCTGTGATGGAACACAAGGTTCCATGACCTTGCTGTCGGAACTGCATTGTTCCACTAACCGTAGTGCACCTCGTAAAATGTCCTGATGTTCAGGATCAGAAATTTTGTGTTTCCACTGTTCCTTTAAATTTGACCCGAATTGACTTAGGGCTACCATCTTTAGTGACTTCGATGGGGACAGGAAGACAGTGGATTTTTTCTAGCAGTATTTTAAACTGAAATAGTGTCTTGTTATTTACGACTTGGGTTGGTTACATGCCCCTCAGTTGATCAGATGCCTTTGAAACTGTTCATCCACTGATTGGGAACTGTGTAATATTCTGCAACATAGATGGTACAATACATTATCTTCTGAGGTAGACACCAACTTTTGATGATAACTTTGTAACCCTGTGACTTCATTCCCCTCTCTCCTACCCCTCTTTTCACCTCCCACTTTTGCTCCCCTCACTTCTCTCTTCCCTCTCTTTCCTCCTCCTCACCCCCCCCCACCCCTTCCAGTCCCTCCCCTCCTTTCCCCTTCCTCTCTGTCATCCACGTTCTTTTCCCCTTACCTTGCTTGTGTGTGGGGTAATGGGACCACTAAAGTCAAACACCTCCGCCTCCTTCCCTCACTTGTAATGGCTGCCTTAACGTTGTGCAAACCATTAAACGGGGTCACTAACGATCAGTCTTCCTGGTTAAGATTTTTATTAAGATCATGAAACAGCATTTTATTAAATAATTACAATCTTGTGATGTGAGCTTTTATATTTAAAAAAGTTTATATATTTTTGAAAATACAGTATACGTTTATACTGTATATACAAATTTTACATATTTAGTCTTGAATTTTTTGCTTCATACATTTACAAAAGAAAATTAAATTTAAAGAACTAAAGGTGGTGGTTCCCTGGTTGACCAGTGATGGGGGTCAACCCAAAAAGCTTGCACCTTTTAAGTTTTGAGAACCCAGAGAATGCAAATCCTGTGTAGTCATAAATACTGATAAGAGTACCTCCCTGGGTCTACCCCAGAATGTTGCAACATTTAAGTATTTCTAGTTTTTAGAATGCAACTCATCCATCAGAACATGCATTTTGCATGTCAATCTGTAATATTATGAATAGAAAAATATATGGAAAATATTTACTATTTCTCCTAACTTCTTGAGGGTTACCATGAGAGCCGTTTCCCCATAAAATGGTGACAATGGTGCCAATTCCAACATGCCTATGACAGTCCCCTAGCTCCCACCAGTCACCCTGCAAAGTTGGTTAAGGCTAGCTGCAAGTATCTAGCTTCAACCAGGGACAGGTAAACAAACAAATCGTCTTTAATATAGATAACACAAGTAATACTTGGAACAGTGAATATGCGAGAAAACTTACACTATTTCAATGAAATTGTAATGGAATCCATATTAGAGTCAGTGTTATGTTGCAATACGTCTGAGAAAAGCCAACCGATTTCACTGTGCTGCAGGAGAGACAGGTATGTGATGACGGTTCTTCCTACCCCATGGTGAAGGAAAAAGAGGGTCTCATTACTTACGTAAGTAACAATATACAAACTTAGATTATTGATGATCTCCATATTTGGGATGAATATGAATCCCTTGGAGTTAATTCTCCACTTGAACAGCAACGCATTACACACCAATTTGTATGTTCTGGTAGTAAAGTCTGATTCGTTCTCTACTCCACTCTGGAATTTTGTAATTACTAAGCAATAAGATGCTTATCTTAAGATACTAACAAGGTTAGGTAAGGTAGGTGTTTTCTATGAAGCTTTTTAAGGGTATCTATTATGTTTAGTATATCACCTATGCACGTAGTTAATAAGTCGATATTGACTTTACGAATTTGCGAGAACGGGTTGCGGAATTCTAGGTTCAAATCCCAGGTGGGACAGAAATGGTTGTCAGCGTTTCCTACCACCTAATGTAATAAATAAATGTTATAAATGTTTATTCAGGTAAAGTACATACATACAAGAGGTTTTACAAAAATTGATAGATTTATAGATAGAGCTAGTACATACAATGCCTAAAGCCACTATTACGCAAAGCGTTTCGGGCAAATGTCCGAATATGTCAGATGTCAATGTCTTTGTTCACTTAGCAGTAAATAGGAACCCAAGAGTTAGCTTGCTTCTTGGGGCCTGCATTCCGAGGAAGGGTCAGTAGTTCAACCTTGGGGGGACTTCTATATAAGCTAAAAATGTAATTATATATATATATATATATATATATATATATATATATATATATATATATATATATATATATATATATATATATATATATATATATATATATATATATATATATATATACTAGCTGCCTGTCCCCCGACACAATAAATTATAATTATTATTAATAAACTTGACCTTGACACATTACTAGGCTGTGAATGAGTAACTTTCCTGGCTGATCAGTGACCATTATGCCAAGCGCCCACTCTTTGAGGCTAACTGTAATCAACCGTATTATAATGGCAGGAACCTATACCTTCATGTCCGAGGAAGTGGAATTATTAGAATCCTTGCCAACACGCCTCAAGAGGAGGAAGACTAGACTATACACTGCTGCTAAATTGTGATGTTGTGGGCAGAAGTGTAGCCATTCTTAAGAGTTCTGCCTCATTCTGTCTGGTGCACCACAAAGCTGTAACGAAGCCAACTAGCCATATAAAAGCAAAAGTTATTACATATGTTACGAGAAACTGTTCAACGCTAAATGAAGAATGTAGATATGGTGTACTTGGACAATTATGCATAGTTCCAATAACACTGTCATTATGAAAGAACTGTAAGGTATTCTCACGCTTATTGTCTTACTCAATAAATTGTTCCACAAACTAACAATTCTATTTCCAGGCCAATGCAGTATTTATCTGATGAAATTGCGGTAATTAAAAGTGTAATCTAAATAAACCTAATAACAGTGTTAATGGTATACATATTTGTATTATAAATTGCATTATCAATTAAAGCTGTCTGGTCATACCCATCGCAATACAGTATTGCAGAAAGCCTGCTGTTTGATATTGATTGTTACAATTAGTATGCATTCTCTGGTGTTCTGTTGCGCTACCTCTCTCAGGGTGAGTACAAGTGCACATTAAACTACCACTCAAAGGGTGAGTACAAGTGCACATTAAACTGCTGTTCAGAGGGTGAGCCTGAGATTTACAGTCAACAACCGCTCATAGTGTGAATACTGGATATACAATATATACTTCCGCTCTCAAGATGAGCAAGAGATGCACATTAAGCTACAGCTCATAGGATGAGTTCAGAATGCCCAGTAAACTACCGCCCACAGATTGAGTACAGGATACACAACAAACTGTCGCTCACGTAACTATCTTAACAAGATTAAATTATCCTCCTTAACTATATAAATTAAAGGGTTAAACTCTTGATCTCATTATGTGTCTATGTAACCTATTCCATCATTACGCAGAAGATGGGTATTATGTCCATAATAAATAAACTAAAGTAACAAATAGGATGTTTACAGGATGCAGAATAAATAACCACTCACACCACAAAGCACAAAGGGTTGGTTAGTGATGCATCGTGCTGGGATCCGGTTCCCCTTTAGCGTATGAAGCGGTGTCAGCCGTATGGAGGATACATCCAGATTCTCCAATGCTTGAGGCACGGATTGCGCAAGACTGAGTTAGGGTATAAATAGGAGGGAGAGATTTGTTCCTAGTTCATTCGTCTCCAGGACCCGGCGCGGTGCTGGACAAGCCTCCAGCTGCCAGTGTTGGGGTGGCTTGGCTCCGAGGTACACAGACCTCTGTTACTAAGTCTCCCGGCGCGATACTAACTCGCTCCCACATATGAACCTGTGATTTTATTTTTAAACAAAGCTACAGGTGCGCTATTTGAACACAGCTGCCTGCTTTCGGTTATCAATATGACTGGCGATGGATTCTGAAGACAGTAAGAAACTTCTGAGGATGAAGTAAATTATGTGATGATAACCGGGAGATGAAAGGTTTTTAACTGCTGGAGAGGTTATTAAGAGTGATTAAGGACTTGTGGATTTTGTGAAGTGTTGACATTTGTTTCCGGAACATTATTATTATTATTATTGGCTTAGGAACTGAACGATGGGTGATTATTGACTTTCTGGGGGGAAATTGTTAAGAAAATTTCTTTCTTAGTGTCTGACGTAAGTAAATAAATTGCTGATTTTAGCGTAAAATATCGACGAATGTGTCTGAAACATTTTGGAAGTGACGAGTGTGTTATAATAGTGTTTGACTGTGGGGGATATAAACACATGTTATTGTAAATATAAATGATACAAATGTTATTATATAAATAATAACACACTTAAAGCAATATGTTTCAACACGCTACTCGTCGCTTTGGGAAGCAAACTGCATTCATCTATAACACATAAAGATACTTCTGAGGAAAATCTATTGTAAGTAAATATTGGATTGAATAGCTGGAAACAGAAAGACACAATATATATATAATGTGTAAGTGTAAAGAGGCTCCAAATATTTCCTTTTCTAACGAAGGTGCAAATGTTAAATGTTCTCTCATAATGTTAATGTTAAAAGTAAATCTCTCACACTGTTATATCTTTATTTAACTCTGGCGTTAATGGGCCACGTGTTGCCAGAAATAACAAAATATCTGAAAAAGTCAAGAAATATGTAAAATGTTGCAATGAGCGTAAAAATGATTCTTCCTATAATCACGTTCTTAACAAACGACAATATTATCAGTGCTTCAGAATGTATGCATTTCTATGCAAACACTTTCCTAGCAACAAACACAATTATAGATGCAATTTTTCTAGCATGAATTCCCATAATATGGCATCCCTAGCAATTTAATATGCTATTGATGGTTCTTCTTAAGAACCCTCAATAACATATTATTGAACCATCTCACTTCCCAGCGAAGTCTGGGATGATGAGATGCAGTCTCTGAGGAGGTAACGCGAGCAGTTATGTCACCAGAAGTGGATTCGAACCCAGGCCGCCAGGGGGTCTGCACCAATCAGCATCGGTACCATAACTACTATTGCTGGTGTAATGGTTATGGTACCGGTGTTGTTTAGTGGTGGGAGACCCCTGACGGCCAGGGTTCGAATCCTAAATGTGCTAAACCATTTTATTCCAGGGATCGAACCCTGGATCCATGATTGTGAGTCGAGAACGAAGCAACGTTTTATCAGTCTCAAGAGACAACCCGTTCTCAGACCAAGTCCATTCCATCCAGCGGTCGACCTCAAAGACGCGTTCATAGATTTTAACATGCTGTTCATTCAAAACAGGAATTTTCTCAAATATAAATTAATATTATTATATATTTTCATATTGTGCATATTTAGGAATTGGTTAGGTTAAGTGTTTAGGTTATGTTGGCAATTATTTGTAGTACGTGGGTGAAGCATTTACAGCGTTGTGGTTCGAACAAAAGTCGTCAGCGAAGCATTTGTTCCGGAAGTGTTCGAACGTCATCAGTTGACTCGAGTCGTGTGTAAACCGTTTATCATTCATAAACAGGGGGTTTGGCGGGTGCATGGAATGGTCTTTGGCCATTTATTTATGAAAACAAGTTGCAAAAGAAGACAACGTTGAGACTTTAGGTTTCGTTCAGTTCGTGCATGAATTAAATGGTGTTCGCACCAGTTCATTCGTGAATGAATGAACTCGACTCGCACTGAGTTGGTGAGGTAGTTTAGCCGGTACAACAGAGACAACTGAGGCGTCACTGTAAATGGTTCAGCAAGTGCGACAGAGATAAGACAGTAACATAAAAATTACACTGACACGCGGCTGGCATTCATTAGAAAGCTCATACAAAAATCCCCGTATTGCCCTAACCTATTTTCACAGGCTTCAGTGTCAATGGCTCAACTGGTGCGACAAAGAAATTGAGGTGAAAAAGTAAACCAGCTGTGGCAGCCAATTGGCTTGCAGTGTACTGGAGCAGCTGTGAAAGCCAGTAAAAACCGAACGACAGTGAAACTGATGATAAATGAGTGACAGAGAAATTAGGGTGACAGTGAACTTGCATTATCAAATCAAGTTTTGATTTTTTTTTACTGAAAAGTCGAGATCCAGTGAACATTGAGTTACCCACATTAACGTAATCTTCAGTCGACTTGTGTACCGTCTTATCGGAGAGCAAGTCTCCCGTCTGCGGCTACGTCTGTCAGTCTTAACTCTGACAAGTCGATTTCTGTCAGCCAAAAATCCCATCACAGTTGTTTTCAGCCTCGACAGTACATCAGTCAGACCCTCAATCTATTGCAACATCAACTGCATGACTTTCCTTCCTCATATCTCCTGTCTGCAACATCTAATATCATCAGTATACTCATAATTCAACAGCGTTATCGCCTGTTATGCTACCCAAATTAAGTTCCTGTTCCCTTTATCATCAATTGTTTAATTTTGGGTAATCCAAACACCTTCAATTGGCTTACCCTACCATCTTCCATACCATCTTGGTCAACTACCACGTCAATCACTACCTGGCTTCCTAGATACTACCTCTGTCAACCTCTGCGTTCTTCAGTTACAACCTTATTCAGTCCTTCAGACACCACCACTGTCAACTGTCTCGGCCACCACCGCCGTCAACTGTCAATTGTCTCAACCGCTGTCTCCGTCAACTTTCTCCAACACTTCTAACGTCAAGTAAATTATTCGTCGAAGTATAACAGGTA